CACAGAGGATTAGATTTAACATCTGAAAATTACAACACTAACTTGAATTTATACTAGCTTGACTTCAATAACATACAAGAATTATGCTCCTTTACAGCTATTTACCCACCCTTTTTGGCTATTGATATCACAAAATTGCATCCTTATACATTGCATGTCCCAGGTTATAAACTAATAATTGTTTAAAATTTATTCATTTCTTAAATTATGTAGAAAACAAACTGTGGAGTTACAAACTAAAGTTATAATAATACTAGTTTTATCTAGTAATAGTTTTTAAGGTATATACTAGTCTCTTAAATCACATAGAGAACTAAAAGGAGTTACAAACTACTGTTACAGTAACACTATCTTTTATAATTCACCATATATTTGCCTTTATTGAGATTGTAATTTTTTATATGGCTTTGAGTTATTGTCCAGTGTCCTTTTATTTCATCCTGCAGGTCTCCTTGGAATACTTCTTGCAGGGCAGGTCTAGTGATAACAAACTGTCTCAGCTTTGGTTTATCTAAGAAAATGTCTTAATTTCTTCTTCACTTCTGAAGTGCAATTTTGTTGGATATATGATTCTTATTTCACAGGGTTTTTTTTTTTTTTTTTTTCTGTAGCACTTGGAATATATTTGTTCACTGCTTTCTGTTCTGCAAAGTTTCTGCTGATAATATTTGGAAACCCTGGTGTGTGATGAACTGCTTCTTTCTTGCTGCTTTCAAATATAAGAGGAGGATTCTCCATTTGTCCTTGTCTTTTAAAAATTTAGTTAAGGCCGGGCGCGGTGGCTCAAGCCTGTAATCCCAGCACTTTGGGAGGCCGAGATGGGCAGATCATGAGGTCAGGAGATCGAGACCATCCTGGCTAACACGGTGAAACCCCCGTTCTCTACTAAAAAATACAAAAAAACTATCCGGGTGAGGTGGCGGGTGCCTGTAGTCCCAGCTACTCGGGAGGCTGAGGCAGGAGAATGACGTAAACCTGGGAGGCGGAGCTTGCAGTGAGCTGAGATCACGCCACTACACTCCAGCCTGGGAGTGCAAGACTCTGTCTCAAAAAAAAAAAAAATAGTTAAAATGTGTCTCTTTGAGTTAATTTTACTTGGAGTTCATTGAGCTTCTCAGATGTTTATATCCACGTCTTTCATCAAACTTGGGAAGTTTTCAGGTATTGTTCTTCAAGTATTTTCTCTGCCCCTTTATCTCTTTTTTTTTTCTTCTTGGCACAATTTCCTCTCACAATTCATATACTGGTTCTCTTGGTGGTGTCCCACATGTCGCTTAGGATTTTGTCACTTTTCTTCAATCTTTTTTTCTTTTTATTTCTTAGACTCAATAATTTCCATTGTCCTATCTTCAAGTTCACTGATTCTTTATTTTTTTTTTACTTTTTTACATCTTTCTTTAGTTCTTCAAGCATTTTTATGACAATTGTTTTAAAGTCTTTGCCTAGTACATCTGCCATCAGGTCTTTTTTTAGAGACAATTATTGTTGACTTACCTTTTTCCTTTGAATGGGCTGTAGTTTCTTGTTTCTTTATATGCTTTGCAATTTTTGTTGAAAACTCGAAATTTTAATCTAACTCTGGAAATCAGATTGTCTTTCCATAGGTTTGCTATTTTTTGTTTGTCTTTCTTTTAAATTTGTTGTAGGCTGTCTCTGTGCCAAGGATCAGCCTGAGGTATAAACTTATGGTCTTGTCTGAGCCTTTCCCTGAGCATGTGTGATGACTTTCTAATTTTCCCTGTATATTCAGTTACTTTTGAATATTCTTGTCTTTAATTTCTGGCTCCCAAAAGCGGAAAAAGAGAAAAATGAAGGTGGAAAAAATGGGTATTAGCATTTTAAATCCCCTGTAAGTCACTTTGGCCAGAGGGGGAGGAGCAGCAACAACGAGGAGGTGGCCAAACAATGGTGCCTTCCTCCTTGCCTGCACCTCTGTGATGAGAAGCAGCAATCAGCAGGGAGATTACAGATTCCCAACATTTGGAGGACAACATCTGTATTGCCTGTTCTGGCCCCTGCCAGTGTGTGCAGGCTGCTGCAGGAACATGTGCACAGCTACCTGCCATAGGGCTGGAGGTGAGGTAGGGGTAGCTCCTACTGTGATGAAAGCTGACATTGACGCAAGGTGTATCCAGACCTTCCCCTAGAAGTTGGAGGCCTTCATTAGGCTTCAGAGTTCAAGGATCGGTTACATCAGACAGATCCTGCTAGCACAATGTTGACAGGTGGGAGACAGATTCCTGGTGCTTCCTACTCACCATCTTCCCAAAACTCATTCCCGCTTTACTTCAGTTTTACAGAAACTTTGTAAATTGAGTGGGGTTCATTTAATAGTTTACATTTTAGTGATTTTAAAACTGTTGGACTTTTTGCTGTTTTTGACATTTTTGTGTTCATTCATTCATGCAGTTAATGCCAAGGTAGAATCTGCTTATGGAGTGAGAACTTGTGCCCATGTGCAGGGAGAAGTGCGTGGTGCAGTAGCCAAAGCCTACCCAGATGCTCTGTGACTTCACCTCCTCACCATGGGGCACCGCAGCCCCCTCGCCTTCTCTGCTCACTGTCTGCTACCCTGTTTCCAGCTCCCTCGCCTCTGTTCAAACAGGGCCCCACTGGAGAGGCCTCCTACAGCCCACTTTACAAGACAGTCTCTCCTCTGTGCCCTTCCCTCCCCAGCCCTGCACGCCACTTCTCTACCCAGCTGTCTCCCCCAGAGAACTCACTGTCAGCCGACAGGAGCTAGTCTGCCTGGGCTGCTGGCACACAC